CCACCTGAGGTCAGAAGTTTAAAACCTGTGTTGATAGTGGGGATGGGGGGGGGAAAAAAGCAGCCGCACACAGACTGTCTAGAGAAACTTTCTTTATTCACACCATTTTCTACTCCATCTATGTTGAAGTTAACATACGTGTCAATCCTCTAAGCGGTTCCTATGCTGACCTCAGTCGTCTGTACACACTATAAAAAAAACAAGTCGAGATAATATGTTTAGAAATCCAAGAAGGTCGTGAGGTTAGGAAGGTTCTGACGCTCGCTGAGGGGTTTCTGCTTCACAGTCCGCCCCCCCCCCCCCCTCAGTCCCAGCCCCCCCCCCAACCGCCATCTTTTTTTCTCTTCATTTAACAAAAGAACAGACTGAAGGAGGCCTGTGGCCCGGACATTTGTAAAGCGCGTTTTGACTGTACAGCTCACACAGAACACAACGAACAGGTCATATACAGAGCATGGCGACGGGGGGGTCGGGGGGGGGGGGGGGGGGCCACGAACACACCGCCGTGGCGTGGGAGACAGAACGTACCAGCGAGAAAAAACGCACAAACATCTGAAGCATTTCATAGAAACCAGAGAAAAGAAAGTCGCAAAACTTGGAGTAAACAAATCAAGAGTATATACAGTGAGGTAAAACACATTGGTCTTCAGTAGGAGGTATTTTTCTTTTTGATGAAGTGACCGTTTGAATACGTTAGTTCCCCTTTTCTTTACACTCTCAGCTGCTGGCTGACGGCTAAAAGCTGAAAGCAAACTCTGCTCAGACTGAGGCACCAATCAAACACCAGAAAGCTCTCTGCTGCCGCCACTGCCCCCCCCCCCGCCCCCCCGGCTGTGAACAGCTCCCTGATGGGGGGCGGGGGGCAGACCTGAGGGACCCACGCTCACAGTGAGGGGGCCCCGGTGGAACGGGAGTCCCCTGAACGTTGCATAAGGAGGACCCGGGGGTGAGGGGGTGGGGGGGGGGCAGGTTTCTGCATGCTGGCCTAACGGCTGCCCCCCCCATATGTGAGCTGCTGAGTGAGGGCCTGTACATTCACCACTGTGGGAGTGGGGGGGGTGGGCTGCTGGTATAGTTGACGTCACCCCCCCCCTCTGGGCCCTCCAGCTCAGCCAGACCCCCCCCAGCTGCTAAAGGACCATCTGAGTTCATCTAAAGACCAACGGCTACTTCCATCCAGCTGTTCCAGCCTGAGTGGACACCCCCACAGTGGACACCCCCACAGTGGACACTGGCTGGACCCTCTAACAGGTTTCCCCCCCTGCTGGGGTTTCCCCCCACCAGCTCTGAAACGAGGGTGTTTAGCTAAAAACATCAGTCCAGATGTTGACGGAGTCTCATAGCGGCGGAGGGGCGGGGCTTCACAGGGACCCATCCGATAGGCCAGCGCGTCTTTGTGCCTCAGCTCAGTTGGCGGGCAGCCGGGGGGGGGCGGTCAGAACCCAAACCCAAACCCGGGTCAACAGAGGAGGTGGAATGACAGAGAGAGGCCGGTAGGGTCCGGGACAGTTCCTGTACTGAGAAACGGCTTTTTACAGGTAACCCTTTTACAGGTAAGTCATCCGGGTGTGAGAAAGAAAAAGTCCAAGGCTGCTGGTGACTTTAAGACAGGATGAGGGTTGTTGGGGGGGGGGGGGTCCCGGGGGTGTGGAGCTGAGCTGTTCGTGTCCCAGAGGATGACTTAAAAAACTAAATATGCCACCAGTAACAGGCCGCCCCCCCCCCGCAAAACCCCGGGGGGGGGGGGGGGGGGCGCACACGCCTTCTGACTAGTATACATCAAACATTTCATTGAGGATAATCCCCCCCCTCCCTCGTGGAATAAAAATAGCAGCATTAACCACATGACTTTCTCCAATAGCTTCCTCTTTTTGTTTACTCCAAAGGATATTTACAAAGTGGTCATTCCACTTGTGCCACTGCCCGCCACGTCACCATAGTTACAGATGCTCCGGTCAGAGGGCCCACTCACGCCAGTGGAGTCCCCCCCGGTGGGGGCGTGGCCTCGTTTCACTTCTCTCAGTTTGGGAGGAAATCTGCATTTTCTTAAAGGACTGACTCAGCAGAAACCGGTGAGACGGACCGGTCAATCCTGTCCAGTCTGACTCTGTAACGCAGATGTTCTGGGGACAGATATCCTCACATGTCCAGACAGACTGGACACAGAGCATCCTGCCCTCTTCAGGGAGCCAATCAGCTCCAGCTCTGCTGCTCTGAGCACCAGTTCCCTTCTAAAGAACTTTCCCTCTCGTTTCCTGGGATGTGCACAAACACACTCAATTTTCTGTCAATCAGAGACACACAAATTGTTCCTCCATGTTCTGGAGGTGGTGCTTATACGTCTGATTTGATTCTAAAAATAAGATCCGTCATTATGGGCTGACGGCAGACTTCTGAGAGCAGAGCAGAGCTTCCATCTCCCAAACATGACTCCACGTTCCCTTTGCCAGAGAACCGAACCTCCACCTGAGCCTGGAGGTCCAGGCCCAGGTCAAGGTCCGGGGCCAGGACCAGGTCCAGGCCCTGGCCTAGGTCCAGGCCCAGGCCCAGGACCAGGCCCAGGTCCAGGCCCAGGCCCAGGCCCAGGCCCAGGCCCAGGCCCAGGCCCAGGCCCAGGACCAGGACCAGGCCCAGGTCCAGGCCCAGGTCCAGGCTATCCTGGGGCTTCTGCTCAGTTCTGGGAGCATCTCTTAACAAATGGTGCTGGAGATGGGGGGGAATCTGCCCCAGAGAAACATGGCACAGGATGATGAGATTGAGCTAACCTGCAGATGAATACGTCCAACGGCAGCTCTCACCAGCTCAGAAAGCAAGGCGGACAACTAAGCAGCAGCACGTCAATACATTACGTATCCAGAAAACAACCACCATGGACAGAAAACCAACCTACATCCAAATTGCCATACAGGTAAACTGTGGTGGGTCAGAAGTGCACTTATTGCTGAACAATCAAGAGACTCGCTTCCTTTGTTTGTGCAAATCATCTAGCGTGTCCTTTTTTTCTTAGAAATCTTCTTTAAAGACTGTAAAAGATCCAATTTTGGACTCGTTTTAGACATCGACTAATGCCGACTTCTTATGGAACTTAAGATACTTTCGAGTGAACTCAAATTGGTTTAGATGTACGGCAATGTTGGCAACAAGACAAACACGACTGAAACAAACCATTAAATCAGGTGCTACATATATATTTTTTGTCTTTTACATAGAATAATGACACTTGCTTTATCATAGTAATCAGTTGTATATTAGATGTATATATATATGTATATATATATTTATATATTTATGTATATATTCTTTTTTTTTCTGAAAAACAAAAATAAAAACAAGAGCAGATCCTGACTCTTATATGTTGGTCCCTTAAGGCTTGCTAAAATGAGTTGACAAAATTGTCCATTTTTTCATATTCGGTTTATCGCAAATGTACATTCTGATAGAAAAAGATCTTGCAAAAAAAGAAAAAGCAAAATCATAACGACCTGCAAACCTATGGCTTCGTAAATATCCATTTGCTATATTTAAAAGAATGTACCTCACTGCTTTTTTTTGTGTTGATTATCCACAGAGCGCTTGCAGGCCAATCCAATACTTTACGCTTATAGGGCGACATGGGGGAGGTGGGGGAGTGTTTTGGGGGCCGCTGTGGGGGTCCGGTGGGGGCAGAAGCGGGGGGATGAGGTGTAGCTGAGGCGGTGAGTCTTCAGGATGGCACCGGAGGTGGGCTGCTGCTGGCGTGTGTCTTCCCTTTTGCTAGCTGTCCCTAAACCTGGGGTGTGCATAGTACAAGCTTGCAGAATTCCCTGTCTCACACACACACACGCGCGCGCACACACACCGACGGCTGCGAGCGCGCCCCGCTGCAGCCAGCGTGAGAGGAGTCGGGTTTTAAAGCACTGGCACTTTCCGGTAACAGCTGGCTTGGAAGGCATGGTGGCAGCTGATTGTTGTTGGTCTTGCTGTTTGTGGTTTAGCAGAGTATAGAAAATAGACACATTTCTCTACTGTATATTGCATATGTTGCAGCATGTTTGCCAGAAATGAATGAGGTCACCATGTCCAGTTTAGTTTAGCAAGAAAAAACAAAAGAGAGAAAGAAAAAACCCTGCCACCAGAAAAGACAAAAGAAAGCCCGTAATAAATTAAAAACACTAGTCTGACTCCCTGACAGCATGAGATAACAGGAGGAGGATCGGTACAGGTCCACAACTCTAAATCCTACTTCAGATGGACAGGATGAAGGCCGGGTGAGAGCAGCTGACTCCGGCCCTGTGCCCCTCCCACCAGCCCACACCCACCAGGCCTCAGGACCCGGCAGGAGGGGGGGCGGGAGGCCCACTTATCAAACAGCACAGCTAACCCAGGCGGCTCCCAGTGGGAGTTCCCCCCTAGATGGGACTTTTCATGGCAAATGGTCTGAATTTGGAACAGCGATTCATCAGATTGGATCAGTGAGCCGCCCCCCCCAGGCCTGCCGGGACACGGGCCAGCGGGTGGGTTCTGATACCCGGGGCTGACTCTGACTCTGCTGGAACCAGACACCCGCCATTTGGATGAGGAAGCAAAGGTGCTGTGGACTTCCTTTTTCTGGGCCTTTTTTTTTTAGAGGTTCTGGGTAGCTGGAGGCTCCCCAAATCCAGCCATGGTTCTATAATCATCCAGACATTATCAGATGTCAGACCAATCAGCCGTGTGACCAGCAAAGCCAAAGGTTTGATATTTAGGCCTGCTCTCACCTCTCTGGCACAAAGTATCAGCAAATCTCTGATCTGATCTAATGCCCCCCCCCAAAAGCTGCAGCCCCACTGAGAGACACTCCACCCGCTGAGTTGGAGGATGTGCTGCAAACATTCAGGGAGGGGGGGTGATGAAGATGAGCATGGAGAGGCTTCCTGGTGGAGAGGCCTCCTGGTGGAGGAGCCTCCTGGTGGAGGTGGAGAGGCCTCCTGGCGGAGGGGCCTCCTGGTGGAGGTGGAGAGGCCTCCTGGCGGAGGGGCCTCCTGGCGGAGGTGGAGAGGCCTCCTGGCGGAGGGGGCCTCCTGGCGGAGGTGCTCCTGGCGGAGGAGCCTCCTGGTGGAGCACCTGAGGTCCCAGTCGGTCGTGATGAGGCGGAGCCCGGAGAGCTCAGGTGGTGAATGCAGTTAAATAAGGTTTGAACAAGGGGGGGGGGGGGGGGTTTCCCTTCATACACCCCCCTTCAATTCTCCTCTTCGCGCACAATCACCCCTCCTGATATCCACCCAGTCCTTCACGTGTGTGTCAGCTCAGCAACACACACCCCGAACGCGCTCCACTCATCAGTCAGGGAATGAAATGGGACATGGAAAAAAAATACTGTTGGGAGGAATGGGTGGGGGGGGGGTGACTTTCCTTCCAAACAGAGGGAAGGACGTTGAGGGAAAAACGAGACTGGGCTGATGTTTAATGCTAATGTTAGGGTTATCAGTCAGAAGTGTGTGTCTGTGTGTGTCTACATCTTGATCCCCTCCTGCTGGCTGAGCTGGGACAGGGTCTTCTTGATGCGCAGGGCCGTTAACCGCGCCGCCCCGTTGGCGTACCAGCACTCCCTCATGATCTTCGCCATCACCCGTAAGGCCTGCGGAGACACAAACACACACAGTGAGCCGGGCATGTCGTCTCCCCCACCTCAGCGCTTGTGGGGGTGACAGGTTAAGGTTTCCTCATTAGGGAAAAGGCTGAGTAAGCAGCAAACGGGAGGCCGTTGGTCTAAGGGCCACTCGGGCTGCTGGGTTCAAAAGCTATTCCCAATTTGATCATTCTCCCTCTTGATATGCCTCTTACCAGTATGACCATGACAAACAGGGAGGAGCAGGAGTGTGCAGAGCGGCTAAGCGATGTGTGAGGGTGGGGTCAGCAGGGGGGACACGGGTCGGCCATAACGTTACGACCCCTGCTGGGTCTTATCACGATCTGACCGGGAATGCCAGTGTTTCCTGTGGAGGACGTAAACACGCGTTCTGGTGGCCCGTAACACCGCTGAATGTCCTCTGCCCTAAAAGACAGCTGGCCTTTGTGGGGCTCCTTCAACTGACCAGACAGATGCTAATGTCAGCCGGAACTCAGGTTTCATGACATTCACATGTTCCTGATCAGCAGGCTGGAAAAATGAAAGAAGCAGAGCCTGAACTCATTTCCACGTCTCGCTGTCTGTTCATGCTTCACTGTGGCAGATTTTGGGAAGAAGGACTCAAACCCCGCCTCTAAACAAGGTGCCAGGAACAGTTTCATTTTGACTGGAAGATTTAAAACCGATTTATAGACAGACAGAAACCAAAAGGGGCAGACTTTTAGCTGTAATGAGTCACTTGATTTCTCACGTAAGAAAAACAGCTGTGTGGTGAACGTCTGGACTCAGATTGGGAAGGAGATTAAAACTTCCATGGAAGCGTCACCAGTAGATTGAATCTGAATTCATTGGAAGCACTTTGCTGTTGTGAAACTGGAAGCTAGTGACACATGCTGCTAGCATGCCTTAAAAACAAAAAGAAGCCGGTCCAGCCTGGGCGAGAGGAGCTCAGACTTCACATGACAAATATTCGCTGGAAAACGGTTAAAGCTTCCAGACCAGTTGTTTCCTGTCTGACTGGCCGTGGATGAAAACAGCATCTGGTACGTATGAGTCAACACGTCTGTGTGTGTCTGTGTGTGTGTGTGTGTGTGTCAGACTGCGTCTGGGCAGGGTTATAGAGATGATAGTACGGCATCTGTGAACTTCCTACAGGCCTCATTACGACAGACGGCACATTCCTCTCGTCTACCACCGTCTACCATCGGGAGCTCTAAACAATCCAGTAACAAAAGCCATTCCTCCTGAAACAGAGGCAGCAGAACGTTTTTTAAAGGTTTTCAGAACCAGCTCCAGTTATCTGCCCATCTCAATAAGGATAGAAGGCAGAGTGCTCAGAGGAAATGAGTCCCCTCTGAGAAAAATGACAACAGACATCCTGAATCCTGCAGCTTCTGTGGCTAACCTACGAATGGGCCCGATCCCGTCTCTTTCTTATGCGAATGAAGTTCCTACAGATCTCAAAATGCAGTATTTTTCTGCCCTCTGGCAGGTGGTTTTCAGTGTTTCACAGCAGCATCAGCAGCAGAGGGCCTAACACGATGGGGCCAGCCTCTCTGTAGAGCTGCTGATGAACTGGTTGGCATTTGGGTTGACCAGAAAGCCCATTATCCTAGAGAACATGCAGAGAGGTCTGCAGCGTTTATTACTGCGACATTCGGAGCGCTGGGCGGGCAGCGAGTGTGACCTTTAGAGTGGCTGGGTGCTGTCCGGCATGGCTGACCTGAACACGCACAGGAGGCTTTTGAATAAAGCCGCCACATGTCATCCTCAGCTCCAGTTTACTCCATCTCCATGTAAATTTAATGACACTTCTACCTGCAGGCTGGACCCTGTCGTGGCCAGAGCTGTGTGTGTGTACAGGGCTTTGGATCCTAGCTTTACTGGTGAGGATCGGCTTCTTTTGGTGCCTCTTTGTGGTGATAATGACTCTGTCTAACTCCTGCTGTTCTGGGAGCACAATCATCTCAACATTATACCTCAGAAACCAGTTAAATGTTGGATAGTAGTTTTTCTTTCAGCACTGGCTTTTCTTTAGTAAAGAAAACTAGACGGGGTCTGGCCATGTGCAGCTCAGTTCTGGTTCCAACTTGTTGGACCCGTCTGTTCAGATTGGATCTTTTGTGCTTTGCAGAAAGTTTATCTAGACATTCCTGTGTTTACCTCCAGACAACCATGAAACTAGATCTCAGCTGATGGTGGTGATTCACTGTGTACCATCTAGGGAACGACTTGTGGTTATGACCAAATATGAGGAACATGAGTGTTATTCAGTCTTTCCAGGAACAACTAAAGGCTTTTGTTATTGTTTAGGATCTACTGAGTAAAATAATTGTGGCTTCTACGAGTCAGTTCAGACTGAGTGGTGTGAAAATAGAGGAAATTCTGAATGGAAAATAAGATTTTTTACCATATTGGCTTTGAGTACGCTTTCAAGACAAGGCTTAGGCTTAAAACTTCCTCCAACTTTACCCAGGGCATGAAAACCACCAACGGCTTTCCTCCACAGGGGGCGCTGCACTAACACCAACACAGGGGCCTGGAAAAGCCAGCTCCAGCTCACAGGTCATGAGCTGAGGGGTCTCCTGTCCACAACACAGTCACCTTTCATCTGGAAAACCTGTCGTATGCTACAAAACGCCAGCTGTAGTTTTCAGACAGCGAGTGTCCACCGAACGGTGGACGGATGGAGAACTTCTTTAAAAAACGTATGCTGTCCCCTTTAAGTGAGGTCATTTCTGAAAATGGGTCTCAGATGCGGAGTGCGTCTCACCTCGCAGCTCTGCCAGCGGTTGGGAATGTTGGGCCGGAGCTTCTGCTCACAGACTATCTTCCTCATCTCCTCCACCGATGGGTCGGACTGGACCAGGTCGTAGTAGGGCAGCTGGTAGTCCTCATGGATGCCTGACAAGAGAAAAGGGTGAGTACCTGACAGGCAGCTCTTCCTGAGCCTTTCCCATCCACCAGCACAGACACGGCTTTGTTCACAACATGAACTTTTTCTTTGTATATTCACCAGACGGTGGTGAATTCTGGTGATCTACTTCCATCTTTGACCTGATCCCTCCCTCCGTGCTGCTACGCTCGGTTAGCCTCTCACCTCCCATAGAGCAGCGGCTGGCGATCTCCCAGAAGACCAGGCCCATGGCATAGATGTCCGCACGCTTGAACGACTCAAAGTGTTTCATGTTTATGGAGTCGTCCAGGACCTCGGGAGCCATATACCTGAGAAGAGACACGGTGGACTGTAGCAAACCGTAGCCAGGTGATGCCATCAGGTGTGTTGTGCTTCTTCAGAACAAAGGAAAACTGTGTTTGGGAAACTGGTCACTGCATAGATGTACATTACAGACTGTGAGGGGGATCTTACTTTGCTTTCTGATCTGAAGATCAGGTTCTCATTTCCAGGGAAAGATGTGTGGCTCACATTTAGTAATAATCAGTAATTGCCGAATTCAGCCCAGTAAAGCTCTATTAGGACTAGAAAAACATTCAGAGCTTGTGAATGAAAACACTTTTGGAACCGGTCTTCTAATGGTTTAAAAGCCTGTAGAAAGTTCATGTCTATTAAAAACCAGCGGCCAAAATGTTAGACTCAATGTGCAAACTAGGAGAGTGGAAACTTTTTCCATTTCAAACTTAATCACTTTTCAAAAGCTCTGCAAATCAGGTTAATCCTATAAATCATGATAATCACAGGAATGTAAGGAGAGGATTACCCAGAAAGGTTTCCATTCATTCTGGTGTTTGGACTACATTACACTCCATGGTTTTGAATTATGAACAATTTACTGTAATTCAAATGATTGGGAATAACTCAATCAATAAAACCCATCAAAAAGGATCACATCTTATCGTTTTAACCCAGCAGGAGTTTTTGATGACAATCCCTGGCTGGTTTAGAGGTTCTGTGCTCATTCACCTCTTGCTCTTATCTACCATCTTCCTGCCAGCAGACCACAGTAATGACTTCTGAAGCTCGATTGCGAGGCTGGAATCCGAGCCCAACAATCCCTCTGACTCACAACTCCACCCTTTTTTGTTTCATTTATTACATTCATTACCCAGAAAATTTCCATTCACTGTGAGGGTTTTACCATTGAACCCATAGTGACCCAAAGGCTGGACAACATGAGCTTGAGGACTGGGATTTGGACGTCAGCAGATCATAACTAAGCTCTTCTCTGGGGGCTTTACAGTGACACTGCTCCTGTTTACTGAGGTACTTGTAGAACAGGAGTTTGCAGATCAGTCCACCAGCATCAGAATCATAACAGGAAAACAGAAAAAATATATGTAGCACACGTTTTGAAAAGCAAATGCACATATGTAATCAATAAATTCAGCGTGATCTTCAAGAATCCAGTGAATTTGTATAATATTTTGTCAGTCAGAGGAAGTGTGCTCATTCATTTCATGAAGAGCAGTCTGAAGGCAGGACAGACGAACCCATAAAAAATGCTGTAGAACAGTTAAGAACCACTAACGTTTGAGACAGATTGACCTAAAAAGAGCAAAACTACCACCAGAATTCCACAGATATACAACTGCCAGCCTCTTAGCCCAGTGCTTCCTCTGCCTGTAGGGCAGCACGATGTGTTACAACATAGGGATCCATTTCCAGTTCTGAGTTACTGACAGAGAGCATCCATTTTCACGAGGAAAAATAAAAACACAACATAAATAAGTCGGTTAAAGATGAATTATGAGCCAAATGGTTTAGGAAGAAGGTTATGAGGTTGTGAAAGTGTACTATTGTTTCCATCAAGCACACAAAATGCCACTGAAACCAGCTCAGTGGAGTCCAGCTCTCCTAAGCGCGTAAACGCCACCAGGACTGACAGCAGCTCCTGTTCCACTCTGCTGGGCCATTGTGATTCTCAGAGAATTACAACGGATGAACCGGCTCATCACAACAAACCGCAGGAGGGACAGAGCCCCCGTGGACTGTGAATCCACAGAGCACCTGTAGACTCTGAATCTGTTCCAAGAGGCGATGACAAAGGTTCATTCTACATCATTCAAAACTCCAGGAAAAGCTCCAGAAACTTCAATGTCAGATTTGAATCCAACTGACTGAGTCTCTCCCCTAAGGGTCCGTTTTCCTGTGAAGAGACTGGTGAGAGATGTGACTTCACACCTCGTATGGCTCAGCTAGCGCTGGACCTATAGGATGCACAGACTCTTTACTGAGGCAGAGAGATAGCTAGACTAAATGAGATCAGACAAAAGGGAATGTCTTCATATTATTGTTAACAGAGTAAGGATGTTTTTCTGATGGGAAATGAAATCTGACAGTTGTGGTCGACGTTATCTGGGGCCATGCCACAGCGGGGCTTTCTCCTCTACAGGTCTGGTCTCACATGTCAGAACTGATTCACGTCTGTGTGACAGGGTGAACGTATGGTGAAATCCCTTTTATAGACCCAGTGGTGGCTATGAGGAGTCCTCTGTCTTTGCTCTCTGATGCTTTGCTGAGGAACAGGCTGGAGTGTTTTAATACCTATGAATGTAACTCATCAATAGAAAAAGGAAGCCAAAAACAATGAAAGTGAACTAGTCATTGATGTCTTAGTGCTTCTATATGAACGTGAAGCTGTTGACCCGATAAAGCTGAAATAAGATGCTAGAAGCTGAGATTTTAGAAGGCAGGACAATCTATTGTTTACTGGAAACACGAAAAAGGGCCACAAGCAATTCAAACTATCTTTGGACAGAAATGTGCTTATTACAAAAGTTTAACTTTTGGGTTGAAGCTACTTCACTTGTGTAATCTGATCATTAATATTTACCATGGATTCCAACAAAAAAGGCCAGAGAGTCTGTCTGCACTGACCCCGGGCTGGCTGAATCATTTAGTGGCCCAGTAATACGCCTGCAGCATCAACACACCAGAAAGACAGGAGGGCCGGGAGGATGTGTGCTGGACCAAATAAAGCACAGCGAGAGAAGACACAGACCAGGATGAAAGCTACACTGGTGCCTCTGTGGGAGGACAGGAGGAAAGGAGGGAGGGAGGAGATTGTTTGACAGAAGATGTAGTTTGCTTTCCAACCCTGTGGCTAGACAAGTCTGTAGGACAGAAAAAAGAGGTGTGGACAGAAACCGAGCGCTAAAACGTGGACAGAAACCTACAGGCCGGCTGGAAGCTGGACCCTCTCCCCAGGTGACAAGTTCCCAGTGCCCATGTGTGCATCGTTCTACATCATCCTGCTTAGAGAGGCTCAGCAGAGCCAGTCCTCCTTTTCCTACTCCTTTCTGCCAGCTTGATAAAGGGTTTTTAAGGAGTTACTGACCTTCAGTGAAATAAAAAAGTTGGAGAGATATTCAAGATCTCCAATAGCACCAAAAAGCTCAAATCAAACTGTTTCCTGGTGGGTAAACCGATTCTGTGTCTTATCGAAAGCCTAGGTAAGCAGAACTTTCCAATCCAGCTAGTTCTGACCGTAAGAATTAACCACCAGAAGAGGCCAGTAGGTGATTCAAGTTCCAAGGTTCTGGGCTGAAAAAAGTATTTTCTGATCTTACTGAGACTCGGCTGAGAAATGACTGATGGGCAGCACTCACAAAAGTTTAGTTTAAGAAACTTCTTCCAGAGAGTAAAACCATAAAAAAATGTAAGTCTGTGAGCCTCTAGCTGAAAGTGGTCTGCTGTCAGAGCCACAGGGCCCTCAGGCCTCACCTTTTGGTTCCCACTCTGTGGTTCGGGGCGATGTCGATGGTGTCGGTGGCAGAATCATGGCGGACGGCCAAGCCGAGGTCAGCGATGCAGCAGGTGCCGTTCTTCTTCACCAGAATGTTCTTTGACTTTAGGTCTCTGTGAGCTATCGCCGGCTTTCCTGCAGACAGAGGTTCCCGTTAGGCTGCAGGTGGAATTTGGCCTGATTCACTTCTCAAATAAGGTGACTTAGATCCATTTTGTTTTTTTTTGAGCCATGATTAAGTCTGGTTATTTTTTCTTGCTTAGTGTTTTGCTTTTTGTTATGAATCAGCTATTCAAACAAGGTGATTTAGTTTTTCTCGGGAAGTTTACAAAGAAAAATCTACCAAGTGGGCTTTATACACTTTTGGAAACCATACAGTGTGTTTATTGGGGACTGGTTGTGGGTGCCTCACCTTGTGTTCCCACGATCTCCATGTGGAGGTGGGCCAGGCCGCTGGCCGTGGACAGGGACAGTTTGATCATGCCCTCCACGGTGACGGTGTAGCGGTTCAGGTAGTCAAACAGGGAGCCGTGCTCGTGGTAGTCCGACACCAGCCACAGCTGAGTCCACGTCCCGTTATCTGCAGCAGAGGGAGGGAGGAAAAGGAGGTTTTGTGGTGCTATATAAATAAAATGGAATTGAATTGAAGAACACCACAGCAGAGCAGGGAGAGGGACCGGGTTCGGATGTGTCTCACATTGGTACATCCCAAACTCCATTTAGGGCAGGGTCATGTACAGTCAGAGGGTCTACATACCAGCTTAAAGGACATGGAACAGGTCCACAGGCAGCCCATCAAACCCTCCCACATAAAGTCCATTTAGCAAACACAGTATTGTGTGTGCTGTATTCTAGTCTTCACTCTCATGTCTTACTCCCCCACACTGTCTAGCAGCCTGTAGACTTGGTGACCACCGCTCTTCACACTTTTAGCTCCTCACTGTCAGAACCGATTTTCTGCTTTGAGAGCTTGACATTTACTTGTATCTAAAGTCACACACACAGACGTGTATAGATGATGAGCTACCCAGAAGAACATTTCATTTGCACCGTTTTGTGTTCATGTGCTTAAACTGATGTGAGATAGAACTAAATCACTGCTGTGTGTTTTCCTCACAGGGCTGAGCATTGGCGTGATTTGCCAGCCGTTTCTGATGGTTTCTCACCTTTGTTGTCGGCCGCGATGAAGCCCAAAATATTCTCGTGCCTCAGCATCACGGTCTGATAGATCTCAGCCTCCCGGAACCAGGAGCGCTCCTCTCTGGACGAGAAGATCTTCACGGCCACCTCCTCACCGCGCCATTTCCCCCGCCACACCTCGCCAAAACGCCCCTTTCCAATGCTCTCCTGCAGGATGATGGTTCTGGCTATGGTCCTCTGGACCAGCAAAGGCAGACCTAAGGAGAAAAAGAGAGACATTCCATATGTAAGAAGCAGAAAGTGAGGGGGAAAAAAACAGAAAGCAGGGCGGACAGGAGAAAAGAAACCAGCAAGGAAACTCTAATATTTTTAGTTGACAGTACAATCATTTTTTGATTTTGAATGGATTAACTCAGAGTTCATGTCGGTTGATATCAGAGCAGCTGACGGTGGGATCTACAGACAGGGATGGAGGCATTTCTCACAAAACTCCATCAGCTCACTGCACTGACCCCTGCAGCTCATAAAGAGGCAGCTTACCCCCCCAAAAACATCTGCCAGCTCCAAATACCCTCATCAAAAGCCAAAAACAGGTCTCCAGAAAAACAAGCAGAGCCAGCAGCAGCTGCTGTGGAGCCCGCAGAGGGCCGCTGACGCTTCTGACTTCATGCTTGTGACAGGAGGAAGGAGAGCTCCCTGCTGGGGGGGGGGGATCATCCTGACAGGCTGTCACCCTGCTGGTCCACCGGTTTTAATGGCTGCCAGTGGTGGCCGCCACCTCAAACAGTCTCTGCCCAAGAACAGATTCTCTGGTGGCTCCGTGAGCTGGAGGAGAGCGGCTCATTTCCAGGGAACTGTCCTCACCAGTTGATGGTGACTGATAACCCACTGTGCAGCACACAGAGCGGAGCAGTCCACACCCCGGCATGTGTGTGTGTGTGTGTGCACAGTAACCAGTGTGACACTCGCACCCTCTGGGTCTGCACAGCCTGGACGTGTTGGAATCCCTCTCAGGCCTTGGTGGCCTGGACTGAGGGGCTGGATGACTTTCAGAGCTCACACAGTTTCCAGCAGGGCTCTTTGAAAAGCCCATCACTGATCACACGCTGGTGTTTTTCACCACGTGACCAAGAACAAACCTGATGAAAACTAAAGAGAGCCTTAGATATCCTTCATTCCTACATGTTACCCATCAGCCAAGAGCATGAACCCCACAGCGGCACACTTCTCTAGCAACTTCATTCAGAATTTTAGAATGACACACCTAAACTTGTCTCTCTAAAAGTAGCCACAGGTATTGGCCTCTGGATTCCTCAGACCCACAATGAAGGTTTCCCACCATTTCCCCATCTCCATTATTGTTAAGCTAGTCATTGATACACTGAGCCCTCTAGAGTAGAAAGTCCCCCCCAAAAAATGCCAACAGGTGGGAAACAACAGACAAGTCAAAGAGAATGGAGGTGAGTTGGAGTCCTGCTGGGAGAGGGGGGTGAGTCCAGTAGCACCACCGGCTCACTTTTACCTCCACCTTTTGTTCTTTGCTCTTTCCCCATTGGAGTGTGTTAGAGCACAGAACAAATGACTCTGCCACAAACTATAAGTGTTCTCAGAAGTCAAAATAAAAAAAAACATGCTATTACATAGAGCAGACAGTGCTGTGTTCAACACTACGAAATAACTCTGGGATGAAATGAACTCATGAGAGGGCAAATATCACCAGTTGACAGCCTTGATTTATTGAATAACCTTTACTTTACCAGAAATAAATCATAGTTTAATCAAACTGTCTGCATGCTACGCAGACATTTAATAAATGCGAAGGAAGATGTGAGATTTACAGAGAAATAAAGTTAAATACACTTTAAGTCATTAAAAAACAAGATAAATATCAGAAGTCGTCAGCATCTGACCGGTGTTAGGATGCAGTGACAGTGGCTTCTAAGCTAATAAACCCAGTGACCTTCCCCTGATAGTACAAATGAAGCCCAAACAGAAAACAGTGATTAGAACACGTCTCTGGTGACTCTGTCCATCACACGGTCACATCTCACACGTGGTAAATCTCTGCCAAGTTCAGTCATTTTTTAAAATCTCTTGGACATGGAAGTGCACCCACCAAGTGGTTGGCACTCGTCCAATAGAAGAGGCTTCTTTTAATTCAGTACAGAAACAAGCAGCTGACATGGATACAGAAAATATAGTCCTCCACTCGATTCCAGTGGGCACTCTAATTACAGCAGCCCACGCGTTCTGCCAGCATGTAGTGTCTGCTAAATGGGAATCCAGGCCTTTCCCTGCCAGCAGGAGGGAGGCGCTTGTCTGGGAGAAAGGTGCTGGTTTCTGACCAGCTTAAACAACAGCTTGTGCCAGGCGGGACTGGTGCATATGTGGCCGGAATCTGGGGCAGCTGGCCGGGGCCTCAGACACAGAATGCAAACAGGATGGAGAGCGCCGCTCCTCTTCCTCCCACTGCGGGACGGGAGCCCGCCGGGCACTGCCCCGGGGGGCTCCACACCATTGACTCATGGGCTTCAGCTGACAGGAGGGGGGCAGTGAGGCTAACCAAAAGGAGGTTATGCTCATATTTACGTTGATCCTGAACATATGGGACATGTTCATTTGATCTACGGACAGCCGGTGTGTGCCGTGGCTCACCTGATGTAAACGACCCACCATGAGAGCCAGCCCCAGCTGATGGGCGATTACCGGTCACTGTCGGGCCTAAAATATGCTGGCCGGACAAGAGCAGGTGATAATAAAAACATCCTGTCTGGACACAAAAACATGGACCTGAATCATGTCACCGACTAAAAAGCAGGTCAGGCTCTCCAGAGGAAGACACCTGCTTTATGTGGGTCCTGGGGGGGGGGGGGGGGGGGGGGGCAGCGTCCTACCGGGTGGAGGCCCGGGGGTTTGAGTCCACATTCCTTCAGGCCACTGGCCTTGCACAAGGTGCATCCAGCGTGTGTGTGTGTGTGTGTGTGGGTGTGTGAGAGGGTGAATGACATGTCCTGTAAAGTGCTTTGAGGAATCAATTTGACTGGAAAAGCGCTATAAGAACAAGTCCATTTGCCATTCCTCTGAGACTTGAGCTGATGAGCACGATCACGTGTCTCAGAATGTGTAAATATACAGAATGTTCGCAAGTGGACAGTGAGAAAGAAAAAATAGCCTTCTTCACATAAAGTATTTAAGACTCGGTAATTGACCAGTTTCTGTAACAACCACGATTGTTGAAGTACATAAAGTCTAATCATCTGACCAGGAAAAAAGGACCTTTAACATGATTCTCTTTTCTGTTTTTTAAAAAGAACTTCTCTGTATATCTCATTAATCATGTAATTTAAAAAAAACATACTTTATAATAATCTATTAAATCTGCATCCTGATCCGAGCCAATTAGAAAACCCAGTTCAGTTTTATTGTGACAGTAGGGGCACTTCAGAACTGAATCCTCAGTACAAAACAAATGTGTGTGTGTGGGGGGGGGGTGGTCTGCATGAAGCAATAGAGGAGAGCTGCACCTGATCCAGAGCCTGAGGTGGTCATGTCGTAGATGAGGTCTTTCAGAGTGGTCCCGACCGTGATGAACGGGTGGTCCATGGAGGGGTCCTCCTCGTTGGGGACCCGGTGGTGGTGGGCTCCGGCCCCCCCGGCTCCCAGGCCTCGGTGGCTGTGGCAGATGTAGAAGGCCAGCACCAGCAGGAGGCAGAGCACACACACGGGGCAGGCGATGACCGCCGCCAGGGCCACGGGGCCCAGGGGGGCGGGCTTTGCGTTGGACACTGCGGGACACAGAGGACAGGGCAGGTTAAATCACGGCACGTATCGGCTTTTCCGTTTTCCGTTCCGCCTGTAAGACAAAGCGCGGGGCAGGACCCGCTAACCCTCAGAGTGAGAACGGGCAGAGTGGAGGGACGTGGTGATGGAAGCTGTGACCTGAACCCAACACACTCACGCCTGTCTTTGTGTCTTTGGGAGGACCTTCCATCACAGACAACAACCTTCTCCAACCCTCATTTTACCCATCAACTCTGAAATCAGAGTCTCTTATGTGACTGAATGCGCCGCCTGACCCGTGTACCTGGCAGCAGTCGTTTTTTCTGCTTGCACTCCTTAAGAATCCCCCCGTCAGAGAAGAGCCCCCACGCCTAAAAGATGCCCTACTGAACAGACTAATGAAGTCAAACCAGGCGGGGAGCCGGGTGCCACCAGGGCCAGGAGAAAATAAGGAGGGATAAGGAAATAAGGCTCCCACTTTGGTCCTCTGATGGTGTGTGTGTGTGTGTGTCAGAGGGGTGCTGCTGTGGTCACTGGTTGGAATAAAAAAGGCACATTTGAAGGATTTAAATTAATAACTGATGCAAACAGTTATGAATTTAAAAGCCTTTTTCTCCACATGAGATTTGTTTAGAGCAGAAGTGTGAAAATCAAAGTGTTGGCTCAGGATTCTTCAGAGCATGTGTGCACAAGCCGCACACGGCTGAATGTGAGCGGGAAACAAAACAAGGCTTATTCATCAGCGCTCCACAATATTTACAGAGACGGTGGGTGTTCTAAGTATCTGTTTCTTAATTAGAGAAAACAGGCCAGAGTGTGCTGGAGGAGTCCTGGTTTTGCTCCTGAAGGCCTGAGAGGCTTCACCCGGAAACACCCGGAAACTTCTCACAGCCCGCCGGCCTGTCTCTGTCCTCCTAATCACGGTCTTTGTGCAGTTGGCGTGCGCATCGGCAGCAGATAAGACGGGGTTTGCTGGCCCCGAGCACAGACATAGCAGACATAACATGAAGTGGGGGGGCGTTTGCAGTCACCGGATCCACAAAGGCTTTTCCTCCGTGCTGCTCTGACTGCTGGTCACCATTAGGAACCTTCACTAACCTGCTTCAGTGTTCAGGTGAAGGGCAGGGGACTGACCCATGCCTTAAAGCTGAGGTCAGTTACCATGGAGGGACACCAGAGCAGTGGTGACAGAGGGGGGCCCAGAAAAAGACCCCGGGACCTGTTTCACAGTCGAACTGGGACGAACTGGTTCGACTTTTAAAAGAGTTCTTCTAACTTTGAACTTTAGACCTATTTAGTGATAGTCACAAAGAGAAAGGAAGTAAAATAAGAGGGAAAACAGAGGTGGAAGGAGAAAATGTCTGGAATAATTATTTGGAATAATTATCTGAAAATTAAAGCATTCTAAAGCAATGCTTGAATACATAGATAAACAGGTTTTCCCAGGCTGGCCTCTCACTTCAATGATTAAAAATGTTTTTTTTATTTTTAAAGAGATAATCTGAATCCTTTTTGGATGGGGCTCTTTGTGTGTGCTGTGTGCTCTCTCATCTTTTCTTAACCAGCTCTGTTCCTCCCCTCCTGTAGACAGCAGTGAGCCACACATCACACTGTCCCTCTCATTTCCCCTCAAAGCTCCGCTCTGTGCTCCAGGTGCAGTAAGAAGAGAGAAAGAATCTGTATCAAGTGACCATTTGTTCCCACTCACTCCTTTCAGTTGTCTTCCAGATTTCTTTAGCTAGAAGAATGGATGAAATCCTGTAACATCCATGCTGAACAAGGCCAGAGTGACAGACTTTACCTCGGCTTTGCATTCTTTTGAGTTTTGATGTGTGTGCTGTAAATGGTCTACCTCAGACAGTATGCAGTCCAGGTTGCTTTTGGTTTTAATTAGACAACATCAGCAGTTTCTAAACAAACAGTGAATGAGAGCTTTTTGCCTCGATGGCCAATGTTTTTCATTCCCACTAGCCTCTCTACATGCACTGGGGTTTGGTCCAGGAACCTGCTCAGACATCCAGTTCAAAAAGCTGTTTGTATTTCAATTTAAAACAAGAAATGTCCCATTACACCAGGCATCAGGTGGCATTCACACAGGAAATGTCTTTTCAGCTCTCTCATCTCCTCCTCGTCTGTTTTGTGCCGGTTGGGTTGGTTGGTGGTAGTTCTTTACTTTTCCCCAGAATAGCTGCCCGTTTGTGTTTTGCTGGTCTTAAAAAAAGGTTCTCAGTTAAGCGCTGGGTCTGGGCTGTGCTGGTACCTCTGTCTGAAATGGCCCAAGTGGAATCTAACAAAAGCCCTTCTGAAGGAATGGCCCTCTTAACACAGCTGGGCTCTCTGACAGAACCTGATCGGTGCTTTTGGGCATTCAAACAAAGGCCTTTTGACAGAAGTTACCAAAGTAGTCCAACTACTTGTGATCCTTAGCAGTTGGTGTACAAGAAATGGAAAGCAGCACTATTACATGATGCAATTCACCAGAGTTACTCATCAGTAAACAGAAAAGCAATCTAGGTTTGAGGTTAAAAAATATAAATATATATATATATATATACAAAGAACATTGTATGTCTTTCTGATACAAGTCCAAATCAGTATTTCTGGTGACAGCATGCTTGGTGCCTTTGTATAATTCCTACTAGGGACGTCCCCATCCAGCTTTTTGCACTTCCGATACCGATCCCAGCCTATCAGAGCATGTGTTAAAGTGTAAAGTTATTTATCTTCTTACTTAGTTGTCAGACTCATGTTGAACAGGGATTTACTCTGATAACAACTTAATGGTTAGGACACAGACCTGTGGGTTACAGACGCTAATGCTAATGCTAATGCTAATGCTAATGCTCGTGTAGGATCGGACCACTAAAAGAAAACTGGATCTGGAGTCTGGATCTGCGTTTTCTCCTGCCGGCCGATACGCAGTTCTTTGCAAATATTGGCGGCTGATCTGATCCAGATATCGGATTGGGACAAGACTAACTACTACTTTCTCCTATAAACAGAGCCCAGCTCAGCACTCCTGACATACCGGCTGTTTGGGTGTGGGTGTGTGTGTCTGGGGGGGTCTCACCTGGGACAATGGTGGGGTCTGCATCTTTGTTGCAGTAGTCGGTGAGGCAGCAGACCGGGTAAATGCCCGAGTCATCTTTGGTGGAGGTGGCGCAGACGAAGGGCCGGTCTCGGGGGATCAGCTCGTTGTCGTTGACACAGTGGCGCTGCTCGGTGATCAGCTGGCTGCCCGACTTCCGGATGGCCACGAAGCAGACGCCGTCCGTGGTGCAGCTGAAGTTCCCGCTGCAGCGGTCACAGTGACACTGGAGGGCTGGAGGGACAGGACAGCGGTCAGAACGGGCCTCCAGCATAAGGCCGCGGGCTCCGTGAGCTCCAGGGAAACCTGCCCCGCTTTTAGAGGGAACACACAGCCAATCAGAAGCAAGTAAGCAGTCGCTCCTCACAGTCTGAGCCGATTAGTGAAGGATCTCAAATGAGGAAATGTGAAACGTTACACGTGTCCGGTAAGTCACGCTTTACACACAGTCCAGGCGGTGACTCATTTTGTGGTTTCGAGTGTTGCAACAGGAAGGCAGACAGCTGACCCACAGCTGGTCCAGGAGACCAGACTCCAAACTGACCAAATCCGGTTTCCCAGTAAGAGGACTGTGCCTGAGACAGGCTGAGCTCAGAGCTAACATCAGAAGCCTGACACCACGCCGCCGCTCGGATCCGTGCACGTAGCAGAAACAGTGCACGAAGGGGAAGGGCCTCTTGGGGTCATTATCTTCCCTTTTTACAGAATGCTGGGAGAGGTCAGCGCACACCAGGTGTGACTGGAAAACCGTCTTTCAGACATAAAGAAACATCATAAAGATCTGCAAAGCTGTAATTCAGAATGAACTGGATCACCCTGCCCCCCCCACGTCTGCGGGAGAGGCCCATAATGAGAGGCATTACCTCAACACTCTCTGTTCAGATAGGACAGAAACTGTCACAACTTCACTTTAAACGAGTTGGGATCAGCTTTTTACCTCAGAAACGAGCTTTCTACGTAAGAACAGAGTGATTTATAGAACATCTGGCTGGCTGCAGCCTGTAGGATCCTCGGCTGGATATCCAACTCCTCCCACATCCAAGTCGGCCATTTTGATTAGGTCATATGACTAGCAGTTTCCTCAGGTGGAAACCAAACTTTACTAAACCTAACCCTAACAGAAAATAATGTGAATGCAGTTTTTATGCTGTATTTAAAACTTTCTGACAGACTGAAAATAAACCATCAAGGTGCAAAGTTATCCCTTCATATTTTACTTTCACTTTGCCAAACTGCAAGTGGGTTGAGATATGGGATCTTCCTCTTGGTGACCTAATCAAAATGGCCGACTTGGATGTGGGCGGAGTTGGATCTCCATCCGTGGCTTCCTGCCGTCTGCAGCCGGACGGGCTTGGGTCAGCTGGTCAGACGGACTTGGGTCAGCTGGTCAGACGGACTGAGCGGCGTCCAGCAGCTGGGGCAGACTCATTTACCGTCTGCAGGCTTGGCCACGGGTCAGGGCGCCGTTAACTACCTCTGCTCAGAGAGGAGCGGGGGGGTAAGGAAGTCTGCCAGGCCTCCCTCAGGCTCCGGGCTATTAGCAGCCACGCTCCCCAGTGCCGGGAACCAACTGCTTCCCTCTGCTAGTGCACGTGTGCTCCATCAGAGGTCCAGGCCCAAACACAGGCCAGACGTACGCAGAGCTCAGTCCTCAGCATCACACACAACCTGCCAGGTCACAGCTACACAACACACACCCCACAGATACACACAAAAAAAAAGAGTTTTAAAGTCTTCTCATCGTCACAACATCCATGCAGTGGTTGTTGGAAGGATTTCAAGCAGAATTTATTAAGAAAATGCCTTCAAGTGTCCATTTCTTGATGAATTTACACCATCAATCTGAGAATCTTTCGGCTAAAGCACTTTGTGACATATGTGACAAAGCCTTTTTGTGATGTCAAATATGAAAACTGTCTCTCCATAAAGCCCCCAAATAAGTGTTTCATCTCCAGAAAACAACCATAATGAATGCATTTCTACAGGCCATTTCCCACCTCTCATGCCACCACTGGTGTATTCTTCTTCTTCTTAAAAAAAATAATCTAATTTGTTCTTTAAAAAAAAAAAGAAACGAAAAGAAAAGAAAATCAATTAAAGCTCTTTATACCAACTACTCAGGCAGGTAAGACACAAACTCCTTTTCTATTCATAACATCCAAGGACAAAATAATTCAGTTGTTTTGACCCTGAAAGTTTGAGAAACATACTTTGGCAACAGAGTGGATGTCGATGTAGTGGATGTAGTTAAAAGCACTGAGCTGAAACGCTTTCTGATTGGTGGACTTCACACAGCAGTACCAACACCAGGCTACAGGAGCGAGGTAAAGGAATCCCCCCCCCTCAGACCTCAGCTGGGTGTTGTGGTGTGACGGGAAGAGGCCATAAAGCGGCTCCAGACCAGACAGGACTGAGCCCAGCCAGCTCTGACTCTGACACCGGTCACATCATCTGCCTCATTAAAAGCTGCCATGTCTGACACGTCTCCATAAAATAACCCACTCCCATTTGTCTCCCATTTCACAGCATCTACCTGATCATTTTTAAAAAAAGACTTGTGCCACGTATGGTTTAGACATCAGGGTATAAAATGTCTTTATCTGGATAAAAATGTAGGGAGTTCTCCTGAAAAGTCTGATTAAAGGCTCATGATAAAAAAAATGGAGAGCAGACCCATTTTTAAATGGCATTTAATCAAAAGCAAATTACATGCTGAATTCTGTTCAACTCAAGTTTGTGGTGGAGACCTGCGGGCCTGAACAAATTAAACTCTAGTGGAAAAGTACTCGCACCAGTCCGGAGGGAGAACCACAGGAAACCCAAATGGAAGAGAGAAAAGAGGAATGGCTACATACCTGTTGGATATCAGAATGTAAACCCAGGAAAGGCCAGAGGCCGTTCAGCACCGCCGCCCCCCCCCCCACTGAGACAAATTTAGGAACAAGTTACCTTAAAAACAAAAGGTTTCCATTCCTCTGGAAAGAGAAGGCAGACCCGACGGTCATTTTAATATAATACCGCTGACATGGTGAGCTGGACTTTGTTTTCTGAGGGCAGCACAGCGGTAGCACTTTCGGTGGTTTGATGGAGCTGGAGCGGAGGGAAAAGCAGAGGATTGGCCGGTCTGTCAGCGGACCACCACCTTCACTTCCAGTCAACAAACACAGGGTGTCTACAGGTGTTCAGTTACAGGGCATTTTAAGCCACACTGACTGTGTGAATCCTCCAGAAATGGCTGTGTTCATTTAAAGAGTACCTTTTTAATGGGTTGCCGGCCCTCTCGGAGGTGGCCGGCCCCCTTTGGCCGAGCGGAGAGCTGTGAAGAAGCAGCTCACGCTCTGCACATAGTGGAATCTCCCGGGGTTAGCCCGCTTTCCTGGAAATGGCATCTATCCGTCCGGGCCCAGAAACCAGCCTTTTCTTTCCATAGTGCACGTAGGGTTTGTTGGCAGAGGAACAACATCCAACAAAGCCGGCTGTCAGCAGAGGTATGCTCCATTTAAGTGCCCCCCCATCCTCCCCGTCCCTCTTCTTTGCCTACAGCTCCCTCCTTAATTACAACCCCCGTCATTATGCGGTCCCTCTACGGCCCCTTCATCTGAACGGCTCCCCTCAGTGTCACAAACACTCAGAAAAACTCAGATAGAGCCTAAAAACACCACACCTGCACATTTAAAGATGCACCCCTCTACGTCTGACTGACAGACGTGGATCCACCAGCTCCGCGGCTGGCCATCTGAATCCCCCCCTCTTCCTATTGACCTTCTCATGGCGACTATGGGGGCCAGTCTACTGATTCTGGTGGTCATCCTGTCCCCCCATCATGTGTGGCGAGGAGGTGCATGAGTCTGGAGTCATTACTGCTCCAGATCACAGCGCCTGGAGAGAATCCATCATTCCTTTTTCAGCAGCCTGATTCTGTCTAGAAGCAGTAATATTTAAACAGCGGGGAGGAGTTCTCCTCTTCCATGTAAAGCCACCGCTGCTTTCCACTTTCTACATATTGATGAAACTGAAATGTCCAAAACTTTCTCTATTTCTCGAAAGCATATTCATTCAGTGTCAGATAAAAATATTCAAACCACTCATGTTTCCTCTCTTAATTTTATTCTTGAACTAATGGCATTTTGGGTTTGTTGGCTTTAACTGAATTATGATTATGAAGTCAATCATTATGCACAACTATGGCTGCATATAAAATCCTCTTAGTATTAAATGTCAGCAACAATGGAAAGTCGCACTTTGAAATGGCAAATTGCTTTATTTCTGCATATTTCCCAGACTGACTGAGTAAATGTTCATTGTGGTTAATTAACTTTGCAAAAGAAAAAGCTTTTATTATTAAAGTAGAGTAGATAAAGCCAAGATAATGAAAACAACAAGTCCCAACAACGTCTGGCTAATTCTTTGTTTGTGGCTTTTAAGAAAATCCAGAGTTACCCTTTAGCAACTGCTCCTAATGGGCTAAATGGACAGTTATGGGCTAAATGACCAGTTATAGGCTAAATGACCATAAGCTACCACAAGTGAGGGTGTAAGTAGCACAGCAGGAGTTCGTGTCCATCCCTGGTAGCCATTTCAACCATTCCAACAGCATTTAAGACACCCATGCTTAGAGACAGAGCTGCCCACTAAACCAGGGAAATAAAAGGTGATGCGGCTTATTACAAAATAGAAAAAAGGAACGGGCAGTTCTACGAAGGGCCCATGAATAGTTCTTTTACTACCGGCTCTGCCATGACCTGTTGTTAAAATAAAGTTAAAAAAAATAAATAAATATCTAAGGTTTGATGCTCCACAGCGGTTCAATCCACTCAATCAAAAGGAAAAACAGTTCACAGATAAAGCTACTGAATGGAAAATGAAAGCTGAGAAGAGGTCCTCGTTTGTCTTAATGGTGCATTTTTAATGAAGATGGAGGTTTTGTGGAAGGAGCACTGACCTGCTGCTCTGTGCTGGAACAAAGCAGGCGTTTGTGTTGCTGCCGGGGTCCAATAATTACCACTCAGTTACATTCATATGCTTAAATAAATACTACACCAGCTTCAGTCAGTTAGTTACTGATCTGGGCCTTTGCTTTGGGACAATACAGATTGATGGATGCTGTGTTGCTCATTGGTGCACATCTTTAATAATTACATCCGCTAACAACACTGTCTTTTTATTCTGATGTGACTCATTAAGAGATGGAGGACAGACCGAGTCTTCCTGTAGCTGATACCACTGACTGGACCTCT